TGACAGTTACCTTGAAAGAATTAGGTAAACTGATGTTAATAGGAACAAGAAATAGGCTTCATAAAGGAGAAAAAAAAGACATCAAAACGCATGTGTTCTAATGCTCATGAGTCAATAATCCAAGTTGCAGAATTAAAAACTGAAAGTATGTGCCTGAGTATTTAAGGATGGTACCAGTTACACCATTTGCATTTATCTCTGTTGATGGCACTGAATGAGACATCTGCATTTCCTTCACTATTTGAGTGATTTCTGCCATTTGTTCCTTAGTAAAGTGTTGAAAGTTGATTGTCCCTCCTTCTTTAGAAGACTGATAAGAGTTGTCATCTCCTGCAAAAGCTGCAGTCCCTTTGATTATAGAGTTTTTCTCTTTAGTGAACTCGATATCCTCAGGGTACCTATGCAGTCTATAGCAACCATCCATTACAAACACAGACACAAGAACAAGTAATATCTACATTTAAAGAGTCCAACTCATCCCATACACGTTTTAATTTAGTGAAATAACCTGATATATCAGAATTCCCTTGCACTAAGCCATTAAGTTCCTTTTAAAGTGAAAAAGGTTGGTATCATTAGACTTACCAAACCTTTGTCAGAGGTTATCCCAAAGCTCTTTAGCAGTGCGGTTCGTTCGAGAAATTCCTACCTCTCTATCTATTTCTGAGATGTTTGAATAAATGACACTATCTCCAATCTCTTTGGATAATGAGTTAAGTAACCAGGAGGTTACCATGTCATTACAACAGTTCCATTGAGAAGAATCAGAAGCATCGGAAGGTGGTGCTTGACATGTGCCATTGATGAAGCCTAGCTTCCTCTTAGCTGAAAGAGCTATCAAAATTGATCTCCTCCAACAAGGAAAACCTCGTCCATCAAACACAGTGCTTATGAGATTCATTCCAGGAGAATCAGATGAGTGAAGATAATAGGGGTGACTGGAGTCCATAGCAGATGTTGCAGGTGCAACAATTGTTCCAGAATTGTTGGAGGGTGATGAAGAATCTCCCATTGTAGATGATGAGTGAATGAAAAATGGATCGAGCTTACTGCTCTCATACAATGTAAGAAATGTAGGAAACGTTTGTGGAAATTTTCTGATGCTTTATTGATCATCATCTTGTATCTTTATATACAAGTATTCTGTGCAGGAAAATAAGAAAAAGAAAAATACAGAGAAAATCTCAGTTGTACACTTGTCTAAATCTTGTAGAAATATTCTAACAACCTAACTAATTTTATTCCCTCTTGTGTTAATATAGTGTGTTGCTCACGTGCTCTTCTTCATTTCTTTCTTTCTGCAGCTAATAGATGAGCAGGAATTATGTTTGCCAACATAAAATATAAGCAATATACTACTAGAAATATAAACAATAAATAACGAGAGTAGATTGTGGAGATCGTCTTATTCAAATGTCTTCAAATATCTCATGTAGTAGTGAAATAACAATCCTATTTATAGGTTGAAAAATCAGTACTTCAAAAGTCACCATGTTAAGTGTCACAATAAGTAGATACATTTTTATCCAAAAGAGTTCATAAAACCTAGAGAATATATGCAAGTAGTTTATCTACTAAGAATATAGACAATCCACTAATTCAATGAATTTATAACACCCCCCTTGAATGTCATAGATAATTATTAGGAGCGATTTTACTTTTAAAAGCCAAGGGAAGAATTATTTCCAGAATGAGGAACTGGCATGAAAAAACATAATTTTATCAAACTTGTACTAATCTCTGCTTGCACCTTCTCAATGAAACTAAGCATGCTCTCTAATCCTTTCTCATCTGAAGAAGAAAAACAAAAGAGGATGGTATTTGTCATTTTTGTTAAAAAACAAGGGCTACACAGAAAATCTAAGTTGCCAATGCCTGGATTGCCGCACCTGTGTCGGACACACAAATTTGAAGAGTACGAGCAACATAGCAGAAAATACTTTAAATAAAGTTGAATTAATAAAAATGTTAAGAAGTGTACCAAATTAATCTTGGTATAGTGGATGGTGAATGACCACCGGATCAACATATGATTCCAAAAGTTCCATCCCATGCGTCTTTAGAAAGTCTAGCTCACCTATAATAGCCGGTGAATATAAGCGTAGAATTTTCATAATACAAAGGTCGCAACTCGCAAGTGTTTGATTTTAAAATATAGAATATTTGTTCGTAACGAAGTTAGCCCTGAAACATATACACAAAGTGTTTGATAATTTGTAAGGAGAGAAAGTACCTAAAAAGTGAATGGAAATGGCATGTAATTGCTGATGAATAAGCCTTTTCGGCCAGTGGTTTAATCTGCAATTTTGCACCTCCAATTATTATCAGATATTTTATATTGGGAACCTTCGTAAGTCCCACTCCCTGTCAATTAACACACCAAAATAAGCATCAGAAGTAACAAGGGTGGATTGCTTCAATGGTAAACAACCTTCACTTTTAATGCTGAGATTGTAAGTTTGAGTTATCGTTTTAAAAAAAAATGGAAACATGTAAAGAATATTATGATTCAAATTGTAACATTAACATTTCCAATACTTACCTTATCCTGCAACCCTGGCAATGCTGCAGAAATTAGTGCCCCCTGAATTGTATCAAAAGGCAGATAATATTCAGAATCATATTGTGCAAACTTCCTACAATATTACAAATTTGAAAGGGGAAAGCCCTCAATTTTGTCCGTGCTACAAAACTTATTGTTATAAAAGTGACTCATATATACCTTATTGTTACACAAATCACTGATATAAAAAATTATATCAAACAAAATCAATATCATTGTACCAAATTTATATCCAATCAAGATAATAAGGAAAAAATAAAAAAATACCTGGGAGAAACCAAGAGCGTCGAAAGGTCCATGCTTAATCATACAGTCTTGTATGTATACAAGACATTTATCAAAATTATCATATTGTTTTAATTCCTGTATTTCCAAACAACAACAACAATTATAAAATAATATAAAATTAAGAACATTATAATTTTCTTGTTAAAAAGTGCAACCTTATTGAACTAACTAGTACCATTCATAATAAGGAGGGTGAAAAATGGCGTCGACATCAGATTTGCCTTGAGAGGGGAAAGGTGCATCAGCAAAAACAAGATCCAACTTGAATTGGCCATTTATCAAATATTTGCTTCTTCAGAATCGCTCCACTCATGAAGGCAAAGAAATCTGGGTAATTTTCTGATAGTGGTGTCGTTTGATGTCTGCTGATGGACATTCATTTTTGAGAAAAAAATTTGGTAAATAGTACAGTAGTATCCAATTTGTTTAATTTTTGAAAAATATATTAGTATATATCATTTTTTAAGTTTAAAAGTTATTCCAAAATTTAATATTTTATATAAAATAATTTTATTTATTTATGACTCCAATTAATTCCCATCTATCTTTTGAGTTGTCTGATCTGAAAAATGTATGTTTGTCGTGAAGAAATTGTTTTAAATGTGGAAATATTGTATAAAAGAATAGTAATTAGTTACCATTGATGTTATTATTTGTCTTTTAATGAATTGTAGTAACTAGTAATTATGTTATTAACAATATTTATTGGAATATCATGTTATAAAAATGATAAATTCATATCAAACTTTTTTTTTTTTTTAATATAATTTTTCAAACTTATGGATATAAATTATGTTTGATGTTTTTCAAAATGAAAATGAAAATTTATTTTTCCAAAAACTATTGCAAACATATTTTAAAATTTCAATCCAAGCAAATTTTATCTAATAGAGTTATTTAATTTATATTTATATATTAACACATTAATTTTATATTTTTATATTTAAAAAGCTATCATATAAATCGATATTAAGTACATACTTTAACTAACGTGCATTAATCGTTGATGATACACATATCTTGTTCGCATGAATTGGTTTGACAAAGATTCATAATAGTGTTTTTTTTTTTTGACTTTTTTTTCTTCTTTTTTTATTGACACTATAATTAACTTAAAAGAATTTTCTTCTTCTTTCATTTACACGTTTTTTCAAAAAAGAAAAGCATCCCAACCCCTACCAGTCATATTCTTCATAATTTAATTTGCAAGACTTTCTCCATTTTAGTTCCAACATTATTTTCTTTTTATAAAAAAAAGAATATAATTTCTTTCAAATCTGAAAATAAATGAAAATCAACTAGGAAGAAATCATACGATTCAGATTTGAAAAAAAGACTTTCTTTCGTACAATTTATTTCAAATCTCATAAAAATAATGGAATAAATATGAAGAAGAAAGAAGATAAATGATTTTTACGTATAAAAGAAGTTAGCCAATATTTATTATCACAATTTTCGAACAAATATGTTTACTCAAATTCAAATATAAACCCATTAAATTTATCAAAAATGATATTCGAAAATTCGTAAGAATTAATTTTTGAGCTATCAATTTCTTTTTGTGATCGATGTAGAAATAAATAACCGCGGCAAAATTTTCCTTCTTCTTCAATCTTAGTATGAAAATATATATTTTTTTAAAGTTAATCTTTCAAGTTATTTGAAAAGAAATTATGTTTTGTGATTTGAAAAAGAATGTGATTTGAGAAGAAGATGAAGATAAAAGGGGGTTGGGTAGGGGAGGGGTGGGGTAGAATAGGTTGACATTTCTATTTATTTATTTTCTTTTTAAAAAAATTAGAAATAAAATGTGTTTGAAATAATTTTAAACAAAAAAATATTTTTTTAAATAATTTTGGGAGCTCGGTGCCACATGTTATTTTTTAAAAAACAATTTTTGAATAGGTAAAAGTATTCAATAAATACTAATTTTAATTGAGATGTCTAAGTGAATTACGTGGACAACTTTAAGGGACAATTGATGATTTAAGCCTATTTAAATATAATAGAATGGCAAACTGCCGTAAATACAATAGCATGGCCATACTTCTGTAACCTTTCTAATAAGTTCGGTCCTATTTTATTTATTAAAAAAAAAGTAGAAATTATATATGTCCCAAACGAGGGACTACCACAAAAAAAAAAAATTAAAAAAATTATCAAACTTGTTCACTTGTTAATCTCTGCTTGCACCTTCTCAATGAAACTAAGCATACTCTCTAATCCTTTCTCATCTGAAAAAAGAAGAATTAATTAACAACACAGAATATAATAAACATTAAATGAAGTTGAATTAATAAAAAAGTTAAAGAAGTTTACCAAATCTTGGTATAGTGTGGCCCCTAGGATGATGAATCACCACTGGATCAACACATGATTCCAACAGTTCAATCCCATACTTCTTTAGGTAATCTTTCTCACCTATAATGTTTCAATTAATAACCAGTAATTAATATCGTATATTTTTTTTAAAAAAATAATTAATCTTCAAAGTGTGAAAAGTAAGATTTTATCATTGTTGGATCACTTAAAAGTTATTATAGATAATTATTCATAACAAATATAACTAATCGCCCTGAAAATAAAGCATACCACCTGCTATAACATATTAAAACACATTTAAGAAAATTAGAAGCTTTGGATACATGTTGCGATAATAACATGTTGAAGTTTAGCAGCTGGACCCCCCACCCCCTCCTAAAAATAGGCATGTTGAAGTCATAAGTTTGGATTTTCTAGCTTATGCTATAGTTTAATAAGTCAATTGAAACAACTCAAAACTGCAATTAGTTATGAAACCAGAATTTTGGAATTGTTTGGTGACTGGATGACGGTTGGAATGTCTCACACAATTAACTATCTTTTAAACAAAATAACTAATTCTTGAGATTAATTGATATTCACAAGAAAATGTGAAATATTTCGAGATTGATATACCTTATACCATCGATCAAACAACTCCTCTTATCTAAAAAATCCTTTATATATATCAAGGCATATAATCTAAATATTCCTCCCAACAATAACCAATATTGACGTATTTATCGATCTAATAAGTTGGAACTATACATTGTGTTTCTCGACATGCCTTTATTTATTTAACAAATACTATAGTACTTAATTTGCATTCTTCCGTGAAATTTCTTAACAAATTCAATTTAATCGAGTCGGCCCAAATTGACCAGAATCTATAGTTGACTTGTCCTAGTTTTTAAAACAAACGTTTTAAAAGAAACAAAATAATGTGTTGTTCATTTTGCACAAAAATTTATGAAATAAATAAAAAAGAATCATACTACGTGTACTGTAAAATAGCCAAAGAACAACAATACAACGTGTTGAATTTTTTGCAGGAAAAAGAAAAGTACCTAAAAAATGAAGGGAAGGGCATGTAATTGCTGATGAATAAGCCTTTTCGGCCACAGATTTATTCTGAAATTTAGCACCTCCAATTATTATCAGATTTTTTATTTTTGGAACCTTTGTAAGTCCCACTTCCTGCCAATATCACACCATGTAATCATCAATTGTCATGAAAAATTTAATTGAACACAAATAATTATGACAGTACCATTGGAATTTTGATATTTTCATTTCACACAAAGAACTAAACAAAAATTTAATTTATCGCGTAGTGTGTACCTTAGCCTGCAACCCGGACAATCCTCCAGAAAGAATTGCCCCCTGAATTGTATCAAAAGACAGAGATACTCAAAATCAAATTGTAATACATCATAAATTTGAAATGTGAAAAAAGAAAAAGAGAAAAGTACTTGAAATGCAGAGAAGAAATAATTATTATAGTAGTATCTTTTTTTTAAAAAGCATCAACCTCAAATAAAGAATTTTATTCCACCTTTAACCGGAAATAGTCTAAATTATGTCTTTTTGCTTTAAAAAAACAATTGTTTTCATAGAAAAAAATATATTTTTGACGTAAATAACAGACCTTTTTAAAAAAATCAAATACTTCCAAAGTACATGCAAAAAACATTGAACCAAATTTATAACCAATCCAACAACGAATAAAGAAAAAAAATGACGAGAGGAGTTGCTCAGATGGTAAGCAGCCCTCACTTTTAACCTGATTGCGAGTTTAAGTCAACAAGGAAGCAAAAAGGGTGGGAGCTCGAGGGTAAAAATAAAAAATAAAAAAATAAAGAGAAAAAAAAAAAAACTTGAATTACCTGAGAAAAACCAAGAAGACCATCGAAAGGTCCATGCTTAATCATACATTCTTCTATGTATTCAAGACATTTATCAAAATTCTCATACTCTGTAAATTCCTGTATTGAAAAACAACAACAATTAGTTGTTAGATCGAAATTGAAGGAAGAGCTATGTGATGGAATTTTAATACTGAAAAAAGGAAGAGACCTTATTGAATTGGAACCACTCGTAATAGGGAGGGTCAAAGATGCCTTCAACTTCAGATTTGCCTTGAGATGGAAAAGGCGCATCAACAAAAACTAGATCCAATTTATCCACCACTTGAGTTGGCCATTTATCAAATATTTGCTTCTTCAAAATTGCTCCACTCGTTCGAAATCCATGAAGGCAAAGAAATCTGGGTTTCCTTTGATTAGTCTTGCAATCACCTTCACTTCCCATGGTGGCAGGCAACAAATATGTATATATATATTTTTATTTTTATTTTCAGAAAGTAAAATGACTCTGTTTTGTAGATTTAGAGAAAAGTCCGTAAGTGTAGGAGGAATATATATAGAGTGAAGGAGAAAGGGCGTCGTGCCAGAATTTTTTTAGGCGTGGGTTGGGGAACGCGTAGGATGAGTTGTCTACGGGATTTGGGGCTCGTGGGATATTCCGTGGACGGTAAAGCTCGACTCAAAAAGAGAAATATTTGGCCAGAATTTGGCCAAAAATGTAAAAAGACTAAAATATTCTTATTTTAATTTTTGCATTTATTTCCTTAATACTTTTCTCTCCAAACAAAACTAACCTTTTTTATATTTCCCAAACTCCTTGAACTACTAAAACACAAACTATTTGGCTGCCAAGGTAAATGAAAAAAATGTTTTTGTGTATATTTTTTTGTGTGTGTATAGTTTATCCGATTTATTTTTAAAAATAAATATTGTTTAGTTAATAAAAAATTTGTACGCTTTAGTTAAAAAAATATTTTTGTAATTTTGTTTTTACACATTAATATTTTTTCATTATAAACCAAATTATGTTCTACATATACATAAAATACATTCCTTCCTCTACCCCTTCCCTGAACTCAATTATGATCATAAGGTGCCAACGCGTACCTTTGAAAAATTATTTTTTCACTTAAAATAAACTACAAATGACTATCTTATCTACTTAAGATTATACTTAATTATTTTGTAATACAAAATTAGTAAAATATAGTAATTAAGTGTAGATTAAAAGATTTTAATTAAATTTTTCTTTAAATATAATCAACTAAATAGATTAGTCTATATAATGGATGTTTTTCAAGAGAAAAAAATTATTTTGAAATTTGGATATTTCTAAAAATAATTGATGATAAGACATATATAACTATGCCATAAATAATACATTAATTTTTTTATATTATAATCATTCCACACAAGAATTAACATATATTGAAAATGGTGAAATTATTTCACTACTTTTAACCATGAATAAAAAATCCAGTTATTCCAATAATATTAATTAAGTGGACATTTCAAAACAAATGAATAAAAGATCACTCAATACGTACTTATCAATTATAATACTTTAAAATAGATGTATTTTATGTATATAATAAATTACAATATGTTTAATGTGTATAAATAAAGTATAACATAACTAGGATATATATTTTTTTAATTTTTTTTATTTAATGTAAAATTTTAATATTTCAATAACGATAATGAAAACTCAAAATACTTAAGAATTGATAGACATCAGCACATTATAGAAATACATAAAAAATTTATTAATATGTAGTTTAATTTTTTAAAACATAATAACCAAACATAAAATTTAAATATGTAGTTAAATTTTTCAAAACATAATAATTAACAAATATGCAATATTACAACATTAATGTGTAACTATCTTGGGTTATTGTTAAATAGGATCTACACTTATGAACCATATGATTTTTAGTATTTCTTTAATGTGTTGATGTCTACCAATTCTTAAGTATTTTAAGTTTTGATTGTTATTATTGAACTATTTTACATTATATATAAAAAACTATTTAAAATGTAATTTAAATAATTATTTAAATAGGTAATTTAAATTTATTTATATAATAAATTCAATAAAATTACTTAATTTTATAAGTTCTTAATCAGTTTGAAACAAATATTAATTTGAGAGCAAAAAAATAAATAATAACATTGTGACTACAACTATGTATACTTAATATTTTAGCATATCATTTAATAACAAATATTTTTTTTATAAAACAACAAATAATACTAATAAAGAAAAATATATAAGTGATGAAACTTTAATCTAGTTTATGCTTAGCAAATTTGTGTTGTCATTATCATCGGAGAACTATGAAGATGTTTTTCTTTCAATTTTTTTTTATAAAAGTTTATTTTGAAATCATAAAGAACTTTCTATATCCTTTCCGTGTTATTATAATTTTTCAATGAAGCACCATCAATGTTTTTATCCAAAAAAAAATTGTATACGTCTCTAGTACTAAAATAATAAATAAAAATTAATTCTAATGAGTCTTTATTTGTGTATGATGTGATTCATATGCAATCGAAGATATGAAGACAATCACATAAGAGGAAACATGATGGTAGTTTGAGTTTTCTACATATTTTGTTCACATACATTCCGCGTATAATTGGATAAAATATATTTTATCACTAATTTTTTTCTAGAAAATCAATGCTTAACAACAACTCCTTTAAATAAATAAGAGTAATTTTTTAGCCAATTCGGTCAATTTTAGATTTATTTTTGAGTGTTGTTGATATAAATTTTTAATATTTAAATTTAGATATAAATTATCTTTTTCACGATTAGAAATTATAAATTTAAATAGATAATCTACACTTTACTCTCTTTTATACTTTTCAAAAAATTTCTTATCATTAAGAATAAGAAATGGAAAATAAATAAACAAAAAAAATAAGTAAAACGGGGAAAAATTTGAAATTGAAGAAGAGATTTTTTTTTGTATTTTTTTAACTACTACTGTAATATATATATATTATTTTTTATTTTTTTAGATCTTGAAAATTTCAAGGGAGAAGAGTGGGTGAGACTTATGTTTTCTTTGGTGAATTTTTTGGTTCCTTTCCCATGTTTAACTATGAAATCATCAATAATTAATCTCATTAATCATTTTCAATGTATTGGAAACATAATTGAAGAATCTATTTAATATTTAAGTTAAAGGATAAAAATGTCCAAAAATAAACTAGTTTATAGTGTGAACATGTCTTTTTTTCATTCTGGCCAAATTTTTATGGCCAAAAGAATTTTTTCTTTTTTTATATCTAAAATTTAAATTGAAATTATTTACTTTTTTAACAAAGAAGCAATTTATCTATTGCATGGCGTTCTTTTTTATGGTACACTATTGACATGTGAAGTCCTGAAGCTCATTAGTGAGCTAATCTCAACCCCACAACGCATGTGATATGTGAATCGAAGTGTAAAAAATTATTTTCTTGAACCTCAAACTTAATTAATTAGTGAATTGAAGTGTCAAACATGGTGAATATATATTATATATATATATATATATATATGGGAAATAATTGAAATTTCACAATAATAATATAACTTATTATTTAATAAAAAGTAGTCTTGAGAATAAATGAATATTACAACGATAATATATAAATATTAGTGCAAAAAATTAATACTTGAATCGTGCTGGAAACTGTCCTAAGAAACTATTTCAACGGTATAAAATGGTTCCTCGGGATTAAATAAACTTTCCCTATCTTAAATAGAGGATACAGGAATCAACGCATTAATTAACATCAGAAAGTTATTAATGGGGAAATAAAATAAACATTGATTAATTAAACGAGGGATTCAGAAATAGAGGCAGCATATAGATGCTTGTTACTCCGTTAGTAAAAAAAAAATGACACATTTATATATTAAATAATAATTTAATTATAAAATATTTGTGTTATCTTGATGAAATGATTTACAGTCACACAAATTTCTATTATTCATTTTGGACTATAAATTTAAAAAAAAATTCTTTCTTTCTTAAACTCCGTGCAAAATCAAACTATCTCACATAAAATGAGACGGAGGGAGTATATATTATAATGAACAAAATGAGAAGAATATATAGGGAAAGAGTGTCATGTAACAATGACAAGTGGCCTTGCCACTTGTCCAATTCCCTACATGCAACATGACACATGGAGAATGAGTTGTCAAGAGAAAAAAACGAGGTAATATCTCAGATGACCACTCAATTATAAACTATTTTCTCAGAAAGTCACTCAATTTTGATTTTTAACTCAAAAGTCACTCAACTATGAATTTCTTACTTACAAAGTCACTCAACTATGAGTGTTTTATACTTACAAAGGCACTCAACTTATTCAATTATTTTTTTAAAATTAAAATTTAATTAAATGAATTTTTTTATCTCTAACTAAAACTGTAAAAAGATGACCCACCTACTTAACTCGATCCGCTAAAAATATAATAGTGATCCTTTTGTTTTACCTTTTCCCCAAATTTAATAGTTAGGATTTATTATTTTAAGAAACTTTAAATTTTGTATGTTTTATGATTTTTTTTCTACACTATGTTTAATTTGTGTTTATAGGAACATCGATACAGTTTGAAATTTTTTTAAGCATGGTATGTTGACGATTTTTAAGCATACTATACTGACGAGGTTAGATAATTTTTTAAGCATAGTATAATTAGCAGTTCAAGTGGATGCTTATTTATTTTTAATTTTTTTTCTTAGAAATAAAAATTTGATCTAAGTAGATTTTAATTTAAAAAATTAATTGAATAGGTTGAGTGACTTATTAAGTAAAACACCCATGGTTGAGTGACTTTGTATGTAAACACTCGTAGTTGAGTGACTTTTTAGTTAAAAATCAAAGTTGAGTGATTTTTTGAGTAAATAAGAGAAAAAACATAAAGTCACCATTACAGGGTGTGTTTGGTATGAAGGAAAACATTTTCCGGAAAATGTTTTTCAATTTTCTCATGTTTGGTTGGGTTAAATGTTTTGGAAAATGTTTTCCAAATCAACTCATTTTCCTCAAATTTAAGGAAAATGACTTCCCTTCAAAACTTAAGGAAAACATTTTCCAAACTCTCTTCCAACTTCCAATTAAAAAAAAAATTGTTGAAAAAATCAATTTAGTTTGTCCCTACACTCAAACCAACCCCCCAAAAAAAATAATTTAAAAGTTTGTTTTTAAATTCAATATTTTTACCCACTCTCACCCTACTCCCACCCCCTACCACCACCCCTCCCAAAAATATATTAAAAGTTGTTTTTAAAAGATATTTCTAATTTCAATCTTTTATTTTTTACCCCCACCCCTACCCTCGCCCCCCCAGCCCCTATCAGCCCCCACCCCCTTCAAAAAGAAAAAAAATTAAGTTTGTTTTAAAAAAATATTATTTCATATTTTTACCCTTACTCTCGACCCCCCTACCCATTCCCCCACCCACCCCCTACCAGCCCCCGCACTC